CCCCCAAAACCCCAAAACCCCAAAACCCCAAGTGGTGAATAAGCAATAAAATATTAAATGTCAAATTTATAATTTTTTTATCTCTTTGCTAACATCCAATATCTCAGGTGTTGTTGCTTTTTTCTTTGATATTTTCTTTAGTTCAGGATCCTTACAGTCAGATATCTTTGGGGCATCATCGTCAGCCTATGGTTAGTCTGTATTACTTACTTTTACAGGATTTTCAGATTCCAGGCTCTCCATTCCAAAGTTGTCAATATCTGAATTATTTTCTATATCTGCTAAGAGAGGATTATTTTCAAAAATTTCAGCCTCTTCCTTCTGATGGCTATCAATATCCTTTTTAAATAGATGTTCAGCCACTGACTCAAATTTTTGGAATTTGAAATCAGGTCCTTTATTCCAGCTTATATCTTTTATCAAGCTAGGGGCTTTATTTTTCTCAATCATGCCTAAAATATTACATAGTAACCTACTCCAATTGTCAGGTGTCTGAATTATATTGAATTCCTCTCCTTGCCTTTAGGGAAATTCTGCTCACACTTCTTCAGCAAGATACGTTTCTATAAATCTTAAAATATTATCTTACACTGCTCTTTTCCTTTTCCCAATTGACATAGCTTGGCAAGTGCTGTTTTGGCTTCCCATAAAAACTTTTTGACGCCTGTTTCTCCAAAAGAGGCGTCTGGTTGCCTTCTCTGCTGTTCTGATCAGATTTCCCTGACTTTTTACTTGAAAAAACTGTGGTATCCTGATACTGAATTCCTTGTGCATCAAGTAATTTATTTAATTTCCCAACAATACATTTCTTTAAGAAGAAAATTTCGTTATTTCTGAGTCTCAATGACATCAGACATATTGTCCATTTTCACATGAAGCATCAATAATGTCTTTTCATTTCTCTGTGAATCATTTATTGGAGCTCTTTTTAGAATATTACTTTTCCTCATGTTTTCTCTGAAGTCATGCTTCTGCTGAGCTTTAAGTTTTGCTTGCATTAAAAGTTCTTCAATTCCATATGTCTGAGTTGATTTAATAATCCTATTGAGTCTTCTTATGCCAAGCATGAGACGTTCCTTAACATTCTTTTTAAACATTTTATATCTGTATAATTTGTAATCTCACACAGGGGGTGGAGTTCTGTCGATATACTCCTCATACTCAGTCATCATCTTGTTAAATGCAGAGTGATATTTCCTTAAATTCTGCACCTTTTCAATTGGGAGTCTCATAATTACTCACTCAGATTTAGCTTTAGCTGATCCAGTAAAGAGCTCACCATTAATGCAGCCATAACCTCCAAGAGTGCAACCTGTATAAAGGGTATCTATATAAGAATCTTTGTTTAGATTTCTCAGGAAGAACTCTAGCTCTCCAGAACAGATAATATATATGCTATCACAAATCTCTCCTGCTTGGAACAAGTATTTGCCTTCTTCCAGAGTTATGTATTCAAATTGGAAGCAAAGTTCATTTATGACCCTGCTTGATACTTCAGTACTGAAATAATCAATACTTCTTAATGCTCTATGCATAAATTTTCTCCATTTATCGTTATACTCATTTTGGATATGATCGCCCATTAGTTTATTTGATTGAAGGAGTATGCCCAATAAGAACTTCGAACTCATTTTTAGACAGTTCACCTAATGTACCATAATTTGTACTCACAACGGTTGCTGTTCTCTTACATTTCTTGAGTAAAGCAACTTCTCCAAAATAGCTCCCAGTTGTTAAGGAATTTGCAAGAGTGGGTTTCTGGAATTCATCTACAACAAAAACTTCAAGACTTCCTCTAGCACAGAAGAACATGCTGTCAGCTTCATCATCCTGTACGATAATTTTCTCTTCTGGGACACATATTTTAATTTCTAATTTCTCACAAAGTACGGTAACAATGCTATCTTTTCCAGCAAAAACATCGTTGACCATCATGGAGTCTTTGAACATATTGGTCATTACGAGTTTCTTCAGGCTAGGAGATAAAATCTGGAAGAAATCATTCATCTCATTCTGGCTTTGAAGATTATTATCTGTATATTCCATGAAGTACTTAATCTTATTCTTTACATCTTCTTTGAGATTCATATTCTTCATTACATCAGTAGTTGTTTCTAGTTTCTCTTGAAAAATAGTTGATTTCCTGTTCATTGATTGAAGCATGACTGCGAAATTACCAAATATGATAGCATTAGTGATGGCACAGATGCAGAGAGCGAGTCAAGTGAACAGAAGCTCATACTCTCCTCTTGGTCCAATATCATTTCCTCCTAACATTAACACTGCATGGTACAGAGCGTTTCAATACTGAAAAATGCTTGCCTCTGAATAAATGGTGGTGGTTACAAACACATAATCTAGAGGTGGAATCCATTCCTCTGTTTGCTTCGCAAGGAAAAACCACATACAACCCAGGCAGTGCAAGAACAATATTAAAAAGAACACCAGCTTTATTAATCTCAATGAAGATTTAACTTCATTTCGAATATTCATGTAGGTAATCAGCTTTGAAAGCCTTAAAATCCTGACCAGCTTGAGAAGACTGAACAGCTCAAATGGAATAGTGTCACTATTTTGATCCAAGTATCTAATATAATCAAAAGGAATAGAAGCAATAAGGTCAATCCAAAATCTTCCTTTCAAATAATTCTTGGCTATCTTCCCATAAGAAGTTACCTCAACTTTAGTGTCTGAATCAGTATAAGTAGTCACAAAATTTATTAGTAAGTCTAGAATAAAGAGAACATTTGTCACCAGATCAATAATATCCGAGTATATATTGGAATCGTTCTTATTAGTAAATGCAACGTTGAAAGGTACTTCGAAGCAATTATAAACAGCTACAAACATAATGATTAAATCCCAGTTGATGCGTAATCTACTTTCCTGACTGAATAACCATTTCTTTACCCTACCTACTGTGACCAAATGTTGGTAGTCCTGACCATTCCTCTTCTAAAATGGCTTAGTCTACTCTATTACCTTATCTTCATTTATCGATTCTTCTGAGATTAAATGGTTAACTATAGTAATAGATCCTAAAAAACCTCTAGATTTTTGCTTTCGTATATTCTGATTCATATTAGTAGGTGAAAATTTTGAGTCTGGAAACATCATACTGAGTTGGTTTTTATTCGCTGACTGGAAGAACGAAGCTTGTTTGGTTGAAAACTTCTTAATTTCCACTACTCTCATAAAACAATACCCCTACTTCTTCATCATATTTAAATCCTCTATATCCAATCAGCAACGCTCTATACCCCAAAAACTTAATTTCCTCTAAAATTCTCGAATCAAGCCAAAATCAAATCAAAAATTGTAAGATTTACTATCAAAATTGTAAGAATAGGGTATAGGGTTAAAAGAAGTAGGAATTTAGGAATACTAGGAAATGTACCATTTTCTTTAGTGGCGTCTTCTTTTGGAGGCGGGTTTTGGTCGGTGGGTGGGAATTTGGGCTGGATTTCTGAGTTGCTATAGTAATCACTTTCTTTGCTGTTGCTGATATCATCATCTCCTTCTTGAAACATTACTCGATTCGTATTTTTCGAGCTATAAAGGTGTGTTATTTATGTATGATCTAGAAAATTTTAATTTTGCAATTCTTGGTAAAAATATCTAATTATCAAGGTCTACTTAGTTTATAAGGAACAACACTAAATAATATAATCAATACTTGATTTTCAAACCAAGAAAAGTTTCAATATATTTCTCATTTACTTCAGACTTTATTCACATTTCTAAATAATCCACTTCAATTTCTCTAACATTTCCAAAACACTGCGCTATTTATTCTCAGCCAAACAAAGACTAGCCCTCGTCAATATATCTCAGTAAAGACTCACTGCTCATCTTCATGAGTATTCTGCTTGAGATCCATATTTATAATAAAATTATTCAATTACTCCAATACAATTTGGGGTTTTGGGGTTTTGGGGTTTTGGGGTTTTGGGG